CTATCTAGAAATAATTCTGCAATAACCTAAATGGGAAAATAATTTTTAAGAAGAATAGATACATGTATATGTATAATCAACTCACTGTTCTATACACCTGAAACTAACACAACAGGGTAAATCAACTATACTCCAATAGAAAATAAGTTTTTAAAAAATAAAAATAATACACTGTGAATCAACTATGCATCAATAAAATTTTTAGAAGCATTAAAAAATAAAGAATAAATAAAAATAATACTCATCATTCACTCAAGAAAACTGCAATCGTTGTATAATACCATAGTCCTAGAAAAAATGTAATATATATCTAGGTTTTTCCCTGAAAATAAGCCTAGTAGTATTCAAGTACTTCAAATACATATTTGCATCCTTTTGCTATTAACACTCTTTGTGTATAAAAGTCGTATCATTATTTCTTTTTAAACTTAAAATAAGAGTCTTTTCATCCAATTAAATTGAACCGAGTAGTGGATGATCTTTTAAAAAGATTCCTAAATGGATATTCTGTAATGACTCATCCAAGAAAATACCTTTTCTATTTAGAAGTCTGCATTTCTATTTTATTCTTTAGTCAACCACGTAATTAACCATATAGGTTTAAAAACGTTTGCTGTATCAATCAACCAGAGGCCATTTGGTCATTTCTTCATTCCTCCATTTAGGAGAGTGCCTCAGGTATGTGGATGGTGGCAGGGGCTTTCTGTAAAATTTGTGATAGGACCTGGTGCTCCGTTAGTAAATACACAAGACAACTTTTCCCTTCAGTTTGATAATGAGGTTATTGATTCAGCTTAGCCTGTGTTCTGGAAACCGAACCTCACTGAAGGGTTTGGTAAACAACTCTCTGAATTTCTCCCTCATAAGACAGCAATCTAAATGCCTAGCCTGAGCTTCCTTATAAAAACTGTGAAGCTGAAATCTCTGCTTTATTTCAACAGCTGGTGGTCTACGCTGGTAAATTGCTCTGCTAACGCACAAATCTAGGAATTTAGAAAGTTAGAAAGAAATGAAGAGTTCACCTGCTGCTCCAGCAGCTCACACCTTCCCCTGAGCTCCCAGCACCCCCGGTGGCGTGTCTCGGGGCCTCGGTATTTCGTGCGAAGGCATTTTCACTCCGGTGAAAACCACCTTGGGACTGTGCTCGTCCTTCGTGAGCGGCTCTTCAAGTAGCTTCATCCGTTCATTCTCTAACGTAATTCTCAGTGTTCACAGGGGAAGTATTTTTAAATAGTTTTCTTCCTTGACAAAAATACGACTTCTTCATAAGTTAAATCATTCACAATAGTCTAGAACAATTGATATTTTCTTTTTGAGTCACCTAGAACCTCGTTCCAGAGCTGAGATATGACTGGTCTCTGTTAGGACATCAAAACCCAAAGCGCACAATTATAACTCGAGAGACTTGGACTGGGACTTGCTCTTTCCCTAACTAGCTGTGAGGTTTAATCTGTGCTTCAGTTTCATTGTCTGTGTGATCCTGGAGAGATCATTCGACTTCTTTTCAGCCTCAGTTTTCTCATCTGTGAAAGTTGTTAACAAAAGCGCTTACCAGTTAGCACTGTTATAAGAAGTCAATGATGCGATGGTTCTGAAGGTCCTGGAGCAGCACTGGGCTCGTGTTAAGAACATATGTGTTACCTGTAATAATGTAATACTAATCTGCTTTGCCATAATTCCTATATTATCTCATCTCACAGGCTACAATGAAAGCCAGATGACTTAGTAAATTCTGTTCTAGTTTGTATTGCTACGTAGTCAGTTAGTTACCACAAACATACCATCTTAACACAATGCCCATCCATTATCTCATAGCTTCTATAGGTCAGAAGTCCAGTTCTAGCTTAGCTGAAGTCTCTGCTCAGGACCTCACTAGGTTGAAACCGAGGTGTCACCTTTTCTTCTTTCCTGGATCTCAGGATTCTCTTACAGTCCCAGGTGGCTGTTGAACACATGTCATTTCTTCATGGCTGTGGAACGAAGCTCTCCATTCCTTGGTGGATATCTAGGAGGGATCTCTCCCAGCCATTAGACGCTGCCTGCCATTCCCACCATGTGATCTGTCCCTGTGACAGTCGCTTTCTTCCAGGCCAGGAAGAGCGTGCCTCACTGCTTTCCAATTCCTTAACACCAGGGGAAGAAAACTCTGCTTTAAAGGGCTCGCCGCATTAGGTTAGGCCACACAGATCACCTCCCTTAGCCCTATAAGGTAGTGTGATCATGTCTTGATATCTGGTCATGCTCACAGGATCCACCCTGACTCAGGGAAGAGATGGGATGTGGTGGTGGGTGGATGGGAGAGGATACAGGGGAGGGAAACAGAATTCTGCCCTCAAATGTGACAAGAAGTGAAAAGTAAAAGTGATATACAAATATGAAATGCACATTATTGTAATTTCATTATTATCATTAGGATCATGATAGCAACAGGTTTTTAACCTCATACAACACTATTCCACTTATTTTCAATGGCTTAAATTAGCTATAAAGAGTACTGTAATTTCAAAAATTTGGAAATTATGTCATTCCTAACTCCTTAAATTTGTATTCTTTTTAGGGCGTTTACTTCCCACATTCTACCCTTTGATCTTTGTTCCTAAATCATGACACTCCCCATGAACAAAGTCCCTCAGAGAAATGCACTTCAGTTGGAGTCACCAGTTCATAAACAGCTCAGCCCTCATCGCATTTACAGGGACACACCAACCCTGAAACTCCCCATAGGTCAGTTGTACTTAACCAGCAACCTCAGTGTCCATCGACAGATGAATGGATAAAGAAGATGAGGTCCATAGATACAGTGGGATACTACTCGGTCATAGGAAGGAACAGAATAATGCCACATGGATGGGCCTAGAGAGCGTCATACTGAGTGAGCTAAGTCAGACAGAGAATGCAAGTATCATGTGTTATCACCTTACTGAGCAAGCTAAGTCAGACAGAGAATGCAAGTATCATGTGTTATCACCTAAATGTGAATCTAAGATCTGATACAAATGAACTTACTTACAAAACAAACAGGCTCACAGACTTGAAGAAGAACTAAAACTTAGGGTTACCAGAGGGGAAAGTGGTGGGGGATAAAGCAGGAGTTTGGGACTGATGTATACATACGTCATACATGTATAAGATGGGCTTCTCAGGTGCTGCTAGTGGTAAATAACCCACCTGCCATGCAGGTGATGTAAGGGATCTGGGTTTGATCCCTGGGTCAGGAAGACCCACTCCAGTACTCTTGCCTGGAGAATCCCAAGGACAGAGGAGTCTGGCGGGCCACTGTCCATAGGGTCACAAGGAGCTGGACTTGACTGAAGCAACTTAGCACGCATGACATATATGAAATAGGTAACCAGCGAGTGTTCTCCATGTCTGCATCTCCCCTGCTGCTCTGCAAATAGGTTCTAGATCCCGTACATATGTGTGAATATCAATATTTGTTTTTCTCTGACTTACTTCACTCTGTATAATAGGCTCTAGGTTCATCCACCTTATTAATACTGACATACTCGTGGACACATTGCAGGAAGAGGAGGAAAGGATGAATGGAAAGAGGAACATGGAAACACATAGATCACCATGTGTAAAATAGCTAGCCAGTGGAAATTGGCTGTCTGACTCAGGGGGCTCAACCCAGTGCTCTGTGACAACCCAGAAGGGTGGGATGGGGGGACTGTGAGGTGGAAGGGAGGTTCAGAAGGGATGGGACGTATGTCTGCCCACGGCTGATTCATGATGATGCATGGCGCAAACTAACAGAGTATTGTAAAGCAACTATCCTCCATTTAAAAATAAGTAAATTTAAATTTTAAAAAATGGATAATCAACAAGGACTTACTGTATAGCACAGGAAACTCTACTCACTTTTTGTAGTAACCTGTATGGGGAAACAATCTGAAAAAGAAAGGATGTGTATATATGTGTAACTGATTCAGTTTGCTAAACACCTGAAGTTAACACGTTTTAAATTAACTATACTCCAGTGTAAAGTAAAAACTAAATTGAGAAATAAAGCAAATTAAGGAAAAACTGAACTTTCCCAATGCTTTAGTGATATTTAATCCAGGAAATATGTGACAGACTCAGAGAAGTTTATTCATAGGCAGCCTGATTGAGTTCTAGACGATCCACACGGCTATGGGCTTGTCCTTTGACCAACACTCACAAGGGTATCATATATTATAAAAAGTTTGATAAATAGTGAAATACAAGTATAAAATAAATACAAATATAAAATAAACATAAAATTTCAGTATATTAGAAGGATAATATAAGGAAAGATTGAAAAATGATTGCCTCTTCCCTTTAAATGGAATAGGGAATTTAACCTAGAAATGCAAACAAGAAATTTCTGATATTTTGTGAATACAAACACCTTCAGGGAAGGGATGAATTTCATATCCATACAGAGGTTACTAAAGCTTTTGTATGCACAATAGTGTTCTATTGGAAAAAAAAATTTAAAAGAATACAGACTACAAGTATACCTGTGTTCAAAATTGTCTCTGCCGCTGTTGCCAAGATGATCCCGGATGAGTTACTTTTCCCACTGAGACGTGGTTTCTGCCTCTTTAATACGGTCGTCTACTGGAAGGTGTTCTAGGGAGGAAGGGAACCTATACCAAGTTCTTAGGACAGTGTCTATTCATAGTGAGAATTTATCTAATATTCGTTGCCTAATGTTCTTTTTATTATTTATTTTCAATTTTAACATGTGGCCCAAGTCTGGAATGCATGAAGTGCTCAAAAAATACTTTCTTCACCCTTCTCCAATGCTTGTTTTGTGAGTTGAACTGGATCTGTCAAAAAGAGTGTTTTGGATGTTGTCGATCTGAAATAAGCTAAGAGGTGGCTGTCTGTCTGACTTAACACAACTGTCTTCCTCCCTTCCTTCTTCCCGCCCGCTGGCTGTCTTCCTTCCGTCTTCTCTCCTTTCCTGTCTTTCCTTCGCCTCCCTCTCTTTCTCCTAACTTCACTTTCTCTATTCTTTTTTTCTCAATCAGATATTATTTTAAACTTTCGAACAACCTATGTCAGCAAGTCTGGCCAAGTCATCTTTGAAGCAAGATCAATCTGCATCCACTACGTCACCACCTGGTTCATCATCGATTTAATCGCTGCCCTGCCGTTTGACCTCCTGTATGCTTTCAACGTCACAGTGGTGAGTCCTTGTGAAAATGCTGGATTGAGCAAAACTCTAAATAATAAAATGACCAGCAGAAATCAAGCATTCTCTTGAATTTTTATTGATACCTGTTAACTTCTCTTTATTCATCTAGAGCATTTATTTTTATGATTTCTTACAGGAAAAAAAGTATGCCCACTTGTAATCATAGCTATTTTTACTATCTAATAATTGACACTCTTAAAAGCATTAAATGCTCCCTTATAAACAGACTTTCAAAAAGGTATAATAGCATTTTTGGACCAGTCATGCAATTTGCTGCTAGAGTAACCAATTTTAGCAGAAAAAATTTACCAAGCATTTGTTCAAATTAAACGTTGACAAACCTTCCTGAAAGAAATTATAGTCTCTATCAAGAATTTAAAAACATAGCTTTCAATATTAAACAAAGTGATCAATATTTCAAGTACGGTCATTACTTACTAAAGAATGAAGACTGAACTGTACTCCTGACTATTTAGTACAAATCTGTGCGTTTGTTAATTGCCTGCATAATAGTACTTTTCTTTTCTTTTTCTTTCCACATATATTTTTAAATTGGGAAGTTGAGAGTGTCAACATCACTAAGAGGTTTATAACTCAACTGAAAGGAAAGCTCTGAGGAAAATCTAGTATATAATATCAATCAGTGTTAAACTGAATTGCTATCTGAACTTTTTAAAGTGCTTTTCAAGACCGAATTTGACTAGATAAGTACACTGTAATCAAAGTATAATGACTTGAAACAAGGCTTCTGCAAGACTGCCAAAAAATATCCCGAAAAAATATATAATGCATAAAATGATAAGAAAATTTTTCCAAATTATCCTGGAGAATTGTTAAATAAATGGTGTCTCATAGACTCTGCTGGAAATCAACTTGCTGCTCTGCTTCTAAATACTAATAATAATTTTTATATTCCATTTTTCTTTGGGCACTGAACAAATAGCATAATCTTAAAAATATATATTATATAATATATTGAATATATATAATATAAAATACATAAGATGCTTAGATATGATTAAAAGTTTAATTGCCTAAAATGAGCATGGGTAAAGAATTTTTTAAGCAGTCTAATTCTCATAATTTGATGAACTTTAAATGCTTGTACATTTTCACTGTGCTTTTGCTATCTTTCTTCGTTTTCATTTGTGAAATAGAGAGCATGAATTCTTAATAAAGGCAAAGTTATAGATCATATGTTTGTCAGAAAGTAAGAAAAAGAAGGAAGGAAGGAGCCTGTTATCAGTGATATTTCTTTCTGCTTTTCATAGGGGTGAGCATATAATCATTTAACAAATCGGCTTATAAGTTTGTTATTCCTCCCAATAAATTAGTCAGTATCAAATATTCTATTTGAATAGAAAAGCTTGCTTAAAATATTACATTTATTTCCCAGGAAAGCATAAGTTATACTGTTGTTACACTACACAGACTTAAAAACAAAAGCAGGAACAAGCAAATGAAGAAAGAAAAGTGCTGATTTTCTAGACCTAAAATGGATCCAGTTAGTGCATCTCCATAGGTGACATTCAAAAATGTATGACAACCATCAAAAACGTATTACATATTTTAGTTTTGGCTGTGTCCACAATTGCTGATGGCAAATGTTTTGCGCACAGCTTACCTATTTATTTATTGAAACTCACTATGTATAAGGCACTATGAAAGGTATGACATACAATTATGAATGAGTCATAGAAAGTATGATAGAGTGGAGAAGGCAAATGTATGAATTCAAGTTTTGTCGCTTACCATCTAAGTGACTTCCTGGGGGAGTTAATGTCAAAATAGGCCCCAAACCATAAAAATTCCTGCAGGGTTTCTGAGCAGCCTAAAAAAGGCAATCTTTCCGTAAAATACTTTGCCAAGTGTCTCATACCTAGAAAGACCTCAGCACATATTAACTAGCTTTTTGCTCTTTTTTTTATTCCCTAGTTGATAACCAAGCGATGGTTATGTCCACCTGGTAAGTGGGGGAAACTGCTAATTCGTAGGAGTTTTTAATGAAGGCATTCCCTCGTTGTCTTGTAGCTATCTACAAGGTACTTGTAATTCTCATCAGTGACAAATTTATAGCAGTGTCCCAAGAATAAGAAGAATCCTTTCTCTTTTTCAGATTATATATTTCCCTCTAAATCAAATATGCCTCTTTCTTGCACCATTCATCAAGAGCCCAAATGTATGTTTTACAGCAGGGAGTTGTTGACTCCAGTAGGAATACATGTAATTTTATAAAACTGCCAGTAAAATCTCCCGGGCTGCCTCTTCCTGGGCCCCCAGGCTCATCTCTCTTTTCATGTCTTTTTGCAAACGGCTGTTGTTCTTGTGGAAGGGCAGCTCCACATCCATCCCCCAAACATCCCTTTTCAGAGAAAACAGGCAGCTTGCCTGCATCCACACTCTGTGTCCAAGATGCTGTGTTAGTCTGCTCAGGCAGCTGTAGCAAAGTATCATAGACTGCTGGCTTCAACAACGGGAATTTATTTCTTGCAGCCCTCAGGGCTGGGAAGTCTCAGATCAAGGTGTGCGCCAGTTTGGTTCTTGGTGAGCGCTCTTTCAGGCTTGCAGATGGCTGTCCTCACGTGGCCCCCAGACAGGGAAGGCAGGGAAGGAGACAGAGGGGGTGGAGAGCAAGAGAGAAGGGGTCCTAGGCCTTTCCTACAGAGACGTAAATCCCGCCTTGAGGAGCCCACCTTCGCGACCTCGTGTAAGCCAAATGAGCCTCATGTAAACCTCCCAAAGACTCCATCTCTAAGTACTCTCACGCTGATGCTTAGGGTTTAGAGATGTGAAGTCTGCAGGGACACAGGTCAGTCCACAGTAGATGGTGTGCCCCGTCTGAGACTTCTGCTCCAGGTCTCACTGTATGTACAAGGTTGTCATCTATCTATCAAACTCGCCTACCTATAAAATAACGTCATGCCTCATTAGTCCTCTAAGCCGCAAAGCAGAGACTGCATCTGGCTAATAATGGGCTGCAGAAAAGATAGATGAGAACTTGGTGGTGAAGGAGAAGAAAGTAAAACTCAACCTAGAAAACTGACAAAATGGAATAAAAGACCACAGCTACCTGGCAAGTTCCTCAATAAAATGACCTTATGATTTTATTTTTTTTTTTTAGCTGTGCCTCAGTGCTTGTGGGATCTTAAGTTCCTTGCCCAGTGATGGAACCTGGGCCCCCTACAGTGGAAGAATGGAATCTTAACCCCTGGATCTCCAGGGAATTCCCATCCTTCCAATGTTTTTATATTTCAATACAGAATAACTCACAAGATGACAACTGAAAACACTTTTAATGAATACCTATTGTTATAGTAAGCCTGGGCGTTTTGTATCTTCACCTAACCATTTATCCATTCACTCATTTAATAGAAATTTATTGAGCACTCACTATATGTCAGGCATTTTTCTAAGTACACTTCTTTTTGTAGATAAGGGAAGATGACAGGAAGAGGGAGAAATTGTAAGTCAATCGACTCCAAATAATTATAAAGGCAAACTCTCCAAAGATGCTGACCTTGTTTATGATTCTGCCTATAAAGGAAAATTATTCTTAGGTGTAATCATACAAACCACTTCCTTGCCCTTTATTTGTGGATCACCCATCAAATTAGAATAGATCAAGGAATTTGTCAAAGTCTGTTTGCATATGAGTTAATATATTATCTGACTTCTTCTTTGTCTCAGAAGGTGTGAGAAGAGTGTAGATTAGTAACAGCATTGGGTCAACAGACATTGGCCTTTCTGGAGGGCTCCATGGTAGGCATTTTTCAGTTGAGCCCTAAAGTCAGGGAAAGAAACCCTTAACTATAAGTCTTTTTTTTTTTTTTTTTTTAGTTCATACAAAGGCAGAATCTAGGAGGTTTTTCCAAAACGTTGTTCCATTTGCTTTTGGTTCCCTAAGCATGTTTGTTGAGCAGAGAGCTCAGAATCTGTGCTTCAGGCAAATGTTTTCTATTAGCAATGCGGTATAGAAAGCAAAGCGCAGGAGGCAGGGGCGCCGCTGGCATTTGCGAGAGGATCTTACTCAGGTTTTTAGGTCTCGTTATTTAAAAACGAGAAACCTAAGTTATCGCGTTACCACTCCAATACTGACCAGTCTGTACAGTTTTCTGATGAAGCGGCTCCATTGCATGGAAGAGGGGAAGTGAGTGAAAAACAAGCTGAAGAGGGTGGACACCGCTCCTCTTCCGTCCTAATCCCAGCCTGTGTTTCAGCGCTGTATCAGAGTTCTAGAAAGTTCTGTTCAGTCCCATACGCAGGGGAAAAGCTAAGTCTTAAGGCAGATAAGCACTCAGAGGAATCAAATGGTCCTCCCCGTCTTTCTCTTACCAACTTCCGGTAACTATGCCAAGAAATGACACAGAAACGGCCCCAGAGGCGCCCTGGGCGCTGGCCTGCAGGCGGCGCCAGGACCTGGTCGCGGGCGCCCCCGCGCAGCCGTGGCCTTGGGCCCGCCGGGGCCGCGGGACAGGACCTGGTCGCGGGCGCCCCCGCGCGGCCATGGCTGCAGGCCCGCCGGGGCCGCGGGACAGGACCTGGTCGCGGGCGCCCCCGTGCGGCCGGGGCCGCGGGCCCGCCGGGGCCGCGGGACAGGACCTGGTCGCGGGCGCCCCCGCGCGGCCGTGGCCTTGGGCCCGCCGGGGCCGCGGGACTCCCCACCCGACTGAGCGCTGTCGCCCCCCGCAGGTGTCCCTGGTGCATCTCCTGAAGACCGTGCGGCTGCTGCGCCTGCTGCGCCTCCTGCAGAAGCTGGACCGCTACTCCCAGCACAGCACCATCGTCCTGACGCTGCTCATGTCCATGTTCGCCCTGCTGGCCCACTGGATGGCGTGCATCTGGTACGTCATCGGGAAAATGGAGAGGGAAGACAACAGCCTCCTCAAGTGGGAAGTTGGTAAGGCCGTGCTTTCGGCACATTTTCCATTTTTACGTGAAAGGGAAGCCTGTCTAGGATTTGGAGAAAGGGAACGATGAGGCTTTAGATATCGATATATGTATTCTGACTGTCGATTTGTCTCATTTTGTTAAGATGTGTGGAGAGGGACCATGATACAAGTGATCGCTTTTGAGCGAGTTTTCTGAACAACCTTGCATTTTTTTTTCAAAGAACAGTGGGTTAAGGTCTCAATGGTGAACTTTTAAAAATGACTAGCATATGCATAGAAATGTTTAGATAAGTCATGTGTGATCTTATCTTGAAAAATCCGATGGAGGGCTAAGTAACAGTAAATGCTGGGGACCTGGCCAGTCACTACAATATTTTTAAATCATAAGAAAATGATCATTTCTATCTGAGATGGCAAGTTAATAATAGAAAAGTTCTACTACTTTCTCCTTTAAAAAAAAAGAGAAAAAATACTATCATACTATCTTTCCATATTTAGTATACTTTGAGAATTTGTAATAATATAGAAGATGGGATATTTACAAATATAATTTGTAAAATGTTACGTCCCCGTAATCCATGGGAATTTAAGGGAGTTGTTCCAAGTGTTACATAATTCTGCATAAATGAATCTGAAATGTTCTGCACATGTGCATATTTTTAAACTTATATCAACCACAAGGACTTTATAGAAGATGAAAATTCTGAAGGCTATAACTCTATTTTAAAATATCTGTGTCCTTCTCACAGTCTTTCTTTTTAGAGAATTGTCACAGTACCTTATGCAGGGTATTTTTTTTTCCTAATCTGACATTTAATCAGAGAATCTGTTCCTTGGCTAGCTAGAAAATCCTTCATTTATCTTCTCCAAAAATCAATCCTGGACTTTTGAAAGAATCTCAGATCTTTGCACAGGGATAAAGCTGCAAGAGATTCCCAAGAAGAAACAAAAAATGCTCTAAGTTCTTATGTGAACACTTAGTGGCAGAGTGCATTTAGAACATCCCTGGGTGGATGCTTATAAGTGCCAGTCTCTCACCATAGGGCGAATGCAAAGCCTTCAAAGGGCATCTTTGGAGAATGAGCTGGAGAACTTAAGAAAGCAAGTTCAAGGGAGTGAATATCCTGTCTGCTGCTGCTGCTAAGTTGCTTCAGTCGTGTCCGACTCTGTGTGACCCCATAGATGGCAGCCCACCAGGCTCCTCTGTCCACGGGATTCTCTAGGCAAGAACACTGGAGTGGGTTGCCATTTCCTTCTCCAGTTAATCACCTGTCTAGGTTTTTAAAAGTGTTCCTACACACCTCAGTTTTGTCTGGAGCTACACAAAGAAACTGATACATCTAATAATTTTCATCTCAGAATAGTTTTTTTATCTTCATTATGACATTTTTCTATACTTTGCTGTAGACATCCATTCTCAGAAATGAAGTAAAAAAGAGCAATAAAGCAATGGAAGCAAAAAATCCTACATAAAGAGAATATGAGCTGGAAGAGAGAGAGGGAGAAAAAAAGAGGGACACAGAGATGGGGAAAGAAGATTTGACTAAAAGGGGAATCAAAGTCTGGATTGTACTTGGATTAAGACATATTCTGTCCTTCTGTACTGCTTCCCTCTTTATAAGTCTGTCTGGGACACTTCTTCATCACATACTCTAGCATGGTCCTAATGCTGTCCAGTGAGTTACAACACTAAATCTCTGCCTTTGGTGTGAATCCATATTCATTCTGATTTGTGATCAGTTACCTGATTGCCTTTTGGACCTGACCTAATTTCCCTTACCTATACACTCATATTAACTCATAAGGTTAGTCTAGTCTGAGAGTTTCCAGACAAGGAAATTCAGTTTATGCACACTCAAATTCAGCTACAGGAGGAAAGCCTTGTGTTTCATTTCCAACATATCAGTCCTGCTGCAGACTGACTGATCAGCTTAATGTTTTTCTTCCAACAAATATGCAGAAATATTTATTTTCCAAGAAAAAAGAAGCCACCCTCTTGAACTGCTTCTGCATTGCCCCCTACCACACCTACTCTTGGTCTGGGTATTACGGCTCACTGTCGTGAATGGGGCCTTGTAAGCTGGAAGTCAGTTCATAAAGAGAGTGTTGGTAAAACACAATGGCGGGAAAACCCTGGGCTGAGGGTGATGACTCTCTCCTTTCATCAAGGCGCCAACATCCATCAGCCGCGAGGTTTGTCGAGATTTTGTCCACCTGCCTGGGCCTGTTTCCTCATCTACAACATGAGGAAACACGCTAATAGCTCAAAAGGCTATTTCAGGTTCCACGATTTATGACTTTAATGGAAGAACAAATCCAGTTTTGTGTACTTAATATATCTATTTTCTATTATAGTTCAGTGCCCATATTAACCAACAGAAGCAACCATCCAATGTCAACAACTTTGAGGGATGTGTCAGGAAGGGCATCTTATGATGACAGCATGTCAAGGAAATGATATGTTTCGCTAAGTTACGATTTAAAAAAATAACAGAGCATTTATCTTTAGAGAATTAGATTTCCTGTCCAAACACCTCTTGAGATATGGTCAGGAAGGTAGTATGTTAATTATGTCTGTCAATATTGGATTTTATAATCTTGGCTAAAGGACTTTCCCTTCTCCTAAAATTACTTGGATCGTTTGTTCATTTGGAACATTTTCCAGCTGAGATTTGGACACAAATTAAATAATTATGACCTCTCCTACCTAATTTTATAATGAAGCAGCTGAGAGTCTAGGCTAATTTAGTTTTTACTATGTAATTTGTCCACTAATAATATGCTTTACCTTTTCTGGTTCAATTACCATGAATCAGAAAATTCAACACACGCATAAAACTTGATTAGAGAACACGTTGTTCTTTATGTTTTGACTAAAATCAGATGTACAGAACAGATTCATCTTCCCAAGGAATAAAATGGAACTTCCTTTCTCATCACTGTTAATTTCCTTGAAATAATTTTTTTCCCTTTGGTTCTTGACAGGCATACTTCCTGAAAGAGTTCCAATATTTTGCATCAGACCAAACTGAAGTTAACCTTTGAAAAACATTTTATAATGTCCCTTTTTTATAGTATATCTATTTTTGTGAGGAAGAATTAATACTCCTAAGATCAATTCTATCAGGAAGTTATAAGCTGATTTGCCTGGTATTCTGTTTTACTTCATATTTTTATGTGTTCCTATACCATATTTTAAGGAATTTGAGATTTGGCTTATTGTTTAGTGAAATTTTATCCTGGAAAGGACCTTAGTCCAGCTCTTCGACTTTATGGTGAGAAATCCAGCTCCAGGTTCACAAACTCTTTTGTGGAAGGGGCTTTTGTCAATTGTGTCCACCCCTGCTTCCTTACTGTGGGGTACGATTCCTGGTGTATGGCAAATGTGTAAAAAAAGTTTTTGAGCGAATCGATATTCAAGGTCATTTCATTACTAAATGACAGTCAAGAGAAAGAGCCTGGATCCCTCACTCCTTGTGTTGCTGTTTAGTCACCAAGTCATGTCCGACTCTTTGAGACCCTAGGGACTGTAGCCAGCCAGGCCCCTCTGTCCTTGGGATTCTGGAATACTGAATATTCCAAGAATACTGGAGTGGATGGCCATTCCCTCCTCTAGGGCATCTGCCTGACCAGGGAATAGAACCCGTGTCTCTTATGTCTCCTGCATTGACAAAGGGGTTCTTTACAACTAGTGCCACCGGGGAAGCCCATATAACTGAATCACTTTGCTGTGCCGCAGAAACTAATACAACATTATAAATCAACAATACTCCAATAAAAAATTAACTAAAAAAATGCATCCAGTGAAGAGGTGACGTTTCTGTATTAGTGATGATTCTTCATTGCAAGCAGAGATAGAAAAGGAATTCATTAGTAGGACATGCAGACTCAGAAATAGAAGGATGGAAAATAAGACTTGGGAAAAGAATATCTGAGCCAAGGCAGCCCAGATACCCCAGTGCAAGAAGCTCAGTTGCTGACATTTTGCAAAGATGGCTCGGATGTGCATCTGCCTTTGTAGATGCTGCGAGCTAGAGTCCTAACCTTCTGTTCATCTGGGATTCACAATCCCTGAAAGGAGAAGCTGATTGGCTGAGCTTCCATCAGCTGCTCAGACACGCACTGCCGGGCACGGAGGGACGCCCACCACCGACCTTACGCTTTCATGGTTAGAAGTGGGGCCCTCTGTCTCTCTATTACTATACACAATGGAGAGGACCACCTTCTCATAGGATTTTAGACAGCCCCCACTCAAAAAACAAACAAAAAAAAAAAGATGTCTTCTACAATAACATCTTTACCTAACGCTTAAAAACACACAGTAACATTTATAAAAGCATTTATTAAAATGCATCTGTAAATGATCGTACCCCTCTCAGACGTCATGTAGGTGGAATTAGCTGAAAGGCGAGGCTGTGGGAGTTCTCGAGGCATCCTCCCCCCATCAGCCTGCACTGCTGTGTCCTCCTATCAGTGGTGTTTACCAGGCTTTGCTTCCTCAGCAAGACTGCACCCTGGTCTGCAGCTCCCTTTTTTAGCCATGATGCTACCTTGCATTGTTTGGAAGTTATCTCTGTTTCTAAGTCTGTGAAATACTGACCTTTAAATGATCTGCTGCAACGTTAGAGGTGAGAGTACATTGTAACAGAGGGAAGCTTTTTTTTTTTAAATCTTGTTAATCTTTTAATCCTTTGTCAGAGTACACTCTTCCATTGGAGATGTCTAAACATGTATCTGTACCACTGAAAAAAAAAAAGCCCAAAATCTAGAATGGGAAGAAAAGGATTAAGTAAGATACCATTTTCAAATTTTTCATTGACAATTTTAATCCTAAATCTCCTGATCTTCATTGGATAAAACATCATAAAAAGCTGATTGATTTGAAAGACTCTGTAGTTATTAACAGCTTAGCCTTTACAAGCCTCATATGATGGGGGAAGATGACCAGGCCTGTGATATTGTGAGCTGATTATTTCCATCACTGTATCAAATTTTCCTCAAGAAGGTA